CTCCGGTGCATGCGGCGCGGTCAGCTGTGAAGTGTTTTCACAAATGATTCTCGTGTGAGGTGCGCCACGGCTCTGGAACCAAGGGCAGGACGGGCATTAATGAGCCTTGGCCGAAATGGGTGAGCAGGTCAGCAGAGGTATGGGACTTGCTTCCCGCCCGACAGCTAAATAGCAGTTTGCCTGGGAGCGCTCTGCCTGGCCCGCGTCTGACATCCACAAGAATGTGGTGGTGATATTCAGTGGAAATGAACAGCCCTTGGTTGTGAGCAGAAGGCTCCTTCTAGAAGGCTCTGACAACTGAGGAAGGGGTCGCGGCGAGGCTTGCGAATTCGCCCCGAATTCTTGGCTGTGTTGTGTTGGGGATCACACACGGCACATTTGTTCCTGCTCTCTGTTGAGTCGTTCTTCCCGTCGCTTGACGTGCTGGAGTGCTGAGAGATACTCCGTACGGTTTCCTGTGTCTACACCTACCGCCACCCTGCTCTTCCTGCTGCCGGGTGTGATCCTTCCCGCCGAGCGTGTTGGTCTTTGCCAGGTGGGCAGAGGGGGCCGTCCTGGGAACAGCGCGCCTCCGCCCCGGGCCCCTGGTCTCGGGAGGGAGGCCTGGAGGGCGTTCCAGCCTCGGCCCCGAAACTTGAAAACCACACTGGGTAGAAGCCCTCTCCCTCTGTGCCCCCTCCCGCTCCTGCGAGGACAGCCACAACTGCCTTGGGGTTCCCGAGAAAGGAGTGGACGCTGGCTCGCTGCCGCCCGCCGAGGGCTCTGCCCACCGTTGCTTCTCCAAGAGAAGGAAGCCCCAGGGACCTGGGCGGCTTTCTGGGGGCCGGGCTCCACATTCCTGTGCGGTGGGCACGGTGCGCCCTGGGGGCCGGGACAGCGGGCGCTGCACTCGCTCCCGGGCCCTGCCGACTCGGCGGACGGTGGACGAGGAGCCGCCCTCCTGTTGCTTGGCAGGTTCAAGCCACTCGTTTGCGCTTAGGTGAAAGGACCGACCGAGTCGAGTCCGGGACCGCTGGCCCCGGAGAGGGGGCGGCATGGGGAGAGGGCCGCCGGCCCCCGAGTCGGGAGCCGGGAGCCACGTCCGCCTGCCACCCTGGGCCGGCGCCCGCGGCAGTGATGTTCCACTTTCATGTAGTCAAGACAGGGCGTAAGTTATTGTTTGCATAAAAAAGAATCCTGTTCCCTGTGTACATTAAAAAAAAAAAAAAAAAAAGGCAATGTCTCTGAATTGTATGGGAATAAAACTTGTTTGAAAATTTGGAATAGTGCTGCTGCCAGCTTATTTTTCTGGTACTTGTATTTTCACATGTTAAATGATCTTTATATATGTTGAATTAACAAATATTTTGAGTTTCCTGAGGGAAAAAAAGCATATTAATGGTATTGAAATGTGTTAGTAGTCTGGCCGTGTGCCCAAATTTCTGTTTTGCAGCAAAAGTGGAGAACTGTATGTAAAGAAAGTATAACAATTATTTCTTTGTATTTTAGGGGCTTTAACCAGGACATCATCCTCTAGTTGGTGTTAGGAATGTTTGCTTAATTTCCAGACCCCCTTTTTTTTTTTAAAACACGTTGTGGGTTTTTGAGGCTCCAACCCGATTAGTGCATGGTCAGCCGTCAATCGAGGCTGAAGCATCTCTGACTGAGGTGGTTTTGTTTGGTTTTGTTTTTTAAAATCATGTATTTGCTACAAAGTAATGTATTCGTCTCAATGGGAATGGTGTAAAAACTGAAAAGGCCTTATGTGATATGTATCATAGTTAATAAATCAATCTTGTAAAAAACCAAACCTGAGAGACATGAAGGCGGCCCCTCCTGCCAGGCCCAGAGCACCTGCCCCCCC